AAGCAAGGCTTTGGGTATGTTTTTTTATGAGAGTCTAACATTAAAACAAGACATAAAACTCAAAAAAGTTGATTTTACATGATATTGCCCCTTTAAGAGAAAAGTTATTATTCCAGTGATGCTGAGGCTGCAAATATCTGTCGGGGGTTTGGTCAACTTTTTTACCAATGTGCTAATCAGGCGAACTGATACCTGATTCAGCACACACACATTTGCGTAGTAATACGGATGTTGTTAAGTTACAAAAACAGTGACAAACTAAAGTAATTGTGCCATGCAAAATGTAAATATGGCCTCTGTTACTGAAAAAGAGTTGTTTGAAAAGTCTGCAAAGGTTTACATTTGGCTAGCCATTAGCTTAGCCAGGACAAAGTGTTTTTCCCTTTTCTCTATACTCGATGCTTTTTGACTGATGTCACCACTGACAAAGTACAAACCTTTTGATAGAATGTCACCTAAAAATACTAGCACATCTCTTTAAGWTTAGTTAAGAATTAGCTTATTTGAGTTTAGCTTGTGCTTCTTTGTCTCATCTTATCACTTCCTATTATTTTCCATTTTTTCTGTCAAGTTCATGCCCTCTTTCTCTCCCCGTGGTCAGTGTCTCCACCTGTCTCAGTGTGTGGGCCAGACAATGGGGGGATGAGTGTGGGGCTTCCCTGCTAGAGACCACAGATCCCTGGTGGGGCTAATGGAGCAGAAAGGAGAATATCAATTAAAAGGGTTATAAATATTTAAGAGCAGAAATATTCAATAATATAAGGGTGGGGGGTCTAGGAGACACCTTAACTCTCCAGATGAAAGTTGTGGCATGATAAATGTCACTAGGCACCACAAGTGTGTATGATTGATGGATTTGGACCCAATGCGACATTGCAAGACTTTGGAGATGCCAATAACTGTGATCACATTTTAGGATTCCAGTATCAATGCACTTTCAGTTCAATGAGATTATCTTCATCTTTGAAATTTTTTTGCTAAGATCTTCGTCATCCCCCTGTTGCCCCAAACACTCTGCCCTCATGTGGATAATTTCTCAGTCGCAGTCTTTTCAAGTTGTTTTCATCMAAATATGGAGTGATTAGTGGATCCCCTCTCTTGTGTCTCTCAGTGTTGACGATCAGAATTAAGATTAAAAATGCCCAATATGTTGCACATCTTCCAGCAGAAATCCACATGTGACAGGCAGCCTTTCCAAGCATGCCTGTATTGATCGGCTGTCCAGCCTGTAGAGACTGGTAGAAGAGGATGTCCTGATCTGATGGATTACTGTATGAGGCCCAGAGGCACAGGAACCTCAGTATTGATGTGGCTCTTTAATCCCTGGGTTGAACGTGACCTTGCCCCGTTACCCTCCCTCCCTACTCTCGCCCGTCCCTTCACACACACACACGCGCACACACACACACACACACACACACACA